CTTTTGAGACCCGAGCTCCTCCCAATGGACCTCGAGCCACTCCCAAGCAAGAACGCACCGATTCTTCTCCGGACGCCCCGAGGCACAAAGACCTCGAGTCGGCTAGCTCGGCATAACCGACTACAAGCAGCCTGTTACTCAAAGGATAGCCCAGTTCAAGGTAATTCACAGGAGAACAGTTCGGTATACCATAGGAGGGCTTCTTGCCTGACCGCCGTACCCGACAAACTTGTGGACAACAGGCATGTCCCCCTCGCCGCGCCTGCCACCTTTAGAAAGGCATCCCACACCTGACAGATACGTACCCTGCACAACGGCCCCGCATGTGCCACCTCAGCCCTGCCTGTAATGGCTGTGGCAGACTGACAGTGGCGGTTATACCTGCCCTGTCAGAGGTCAGAGGGCCTGAAGCAACGGAATTCAGTTATAAGGGGCTTAATCTCAAGGAACAAGGTATCTTCAATCACGCGCGCAACCTGCACTCTTAGCCTTCGTTTTCCTTCAGCTTCTTACACACAATACTAACTTAAGCATCGGAGCATTCCCGCCGAGAAACCCCCCGGGAGTTCTTCCTCTTTACTCTCGTTTTAGGTACCTTTCAAGAGCCACGCGAGTGCCAGATAGGAGTGACCGGATTGCGCTACATCACTTTAGATCAACGAAGAGATCTTTACCGTTATATTCCGAAGGTTGTCGAGCAAGCTTTTCCTCGAGATAGATGAATAGAAAGAGAAGGAAGACGGGGATAAGACAAAAAGGTGAAAATCTAATGGAAGGGAGACGTATTGTGATTCAAACGCAACATGTGTCAAAAATAAGCCTTTCGTAAGCACTCCAATTGTTATAAGAATATAGTTAAATAGATTAGATAGTTAGATATGCATGCTATATGTCAGGCCCAGTCTGGTCCGGTCCGTATAGACTTAGATCGGGCATAGACCTATTCATGGGCCGGGTAGTCCGATGGCTCGGCCCGCACCCTGGTTGGGCTTGGTCATGTAATTAGGCCCATGGGCCTGACCTCGGGCCTAACACAGTAAGCCCAACTGTGTTTCGGGTCGGGCTCGGGATTTGTCAAAAAAGCTCGGCCCGACTCAATATTATATATTTTATAAAATACATAATATGTATTTTATATATTATATAAAATATATAAATAATATAATATTTATTAAAAAATATATATTTATAAATTAATATATATATTTTTTATTTTTTTCTTTATAATTTCTCTCTCTCTATTCAGTCGCTTCAGCGATAGTAACAGCATGGGCTAAATTTCGGGCTCAGGCCTAGACCTGGGCTTCGGGCTTTTTATGAGGGCCGGGCTTGGGCTCGGGCCTTAGTAAAATTTGTTAATACATAGTGAAAGCCCGGCCCGGCCCGGCCCGGCCCATGAACAGGTCTAGTCGGGCTTATGTTTCAGACCCATAACTCCGGGTCGGGCCGGGCCGGGGCCTACACTATGTTCCTTGTCATATGTACAGAGCCCGGCCCGGCCCGATTACCCTCTACTCTCTAGAAATTAGAAAAGCCAAGCTAGAATCGAACTCGTGTTACTTTGCTCAACGAAAACCTCGTGGTTCGACAAATTGGAAGTAGAGAGAACGCCCACTCTGCTAGTGCTAGGGTTTTAACGGCCATGGCGGGTGCGGGAATCCATCCTTACCATCAACAGTGGCCGCCAGCGCCTGCTGCTCCTCCTCCTCCTCCGCCTCCTCCAATGCCCGTTGAAAACCCTCCCCGTCCTACCACAGACGAGGTAACCTCTTTTGTTGTTTGTTTCTTTTCTTTTCTAATCTTAATCCGGATGCATGGTTTTGCCCATGAACTGATATTTGATACTTGTTTTCAGGTTCGGACGATCTTTATATCTGGTCTTCCGGAAGATGTAAAGGAAAGAGAGCTACAAAACCTTCTAAGATGGTTACCAGGTTACGAGGCTTCGCAAGTGAATTATAAGGGGGAGCAGCCAATGGGATTTGCTCTTTTTTCAACTGCTCAGCTTGCAATGGCAGCCAAAGATGCTCTTCAGGTAGGATTTGCTTCAAAACTTTAAGAATTTATTTGTTCTTTTCAGTTATGGATTGTATGAAATGAAATTTGTTTTCTTTTCGTCGCTTAGGACATGGTTTTTGATGCGGAATCTAAGTCTGTATTGCATACCGAGATGGCAAAGAAGAATCTTTTTGTTAAAAGAGGTGAGTTTTCAATTATTTGGGGCTTTATTTTATTTGGCGATTTATTTCCCGATGGGCAGGGTAAGTTTACCCCCCTCTGGATGGTTTAGTTTTTCTGGGTGCTTTAATTAATAGTCTGTCCTCTGCTCCATTTCTTGGAGGGCTTTGTTTGCTAGCTCTCCCCTTTATTTGAGGATTATAGCTATTTGATTGATTTCTCTCTTCCGCACCGGCTACCTTTGTTTTTTACTTGAATGTGGTGGAAAAAGCTAAAATTTTATTTTGCCTTCCTTTCCTTTTTAGTTTGAAACAAATACAAATTCAATAAAGTTTTTATTGCCTTTGAATGAACAAAGGAGAATCAAATAATGGACACTAAACAGTTAAAGGGAAATTTAAAGAGATGAAATAATTAGTCTTACATCTCCACTTGAACCATGGTTGGTCTAACTAGTCACTAGTAACGTGTCATCATTAATAAGGAAGATCATGGACTCACACCATACAATAACTTTGAGCAAAAACATCTTCAATAGAATGGAAGGGGGTCTTACATCATTGCTCCATGCAAATTTATTCTAGTATTTTTTTGATAGCTAACAAGAAAATTTATTCTAGTCTTATAAATTAGTTGATATATTTCAGGTATGTCTTGAAGTATCAATATTCGTAGTAATGGTTACAGTATTATTTATCAGTAGTAGCTTTTATTGTTGATAGGAGAGGGGAAATAATTGCTGTTTGTGAGTTTGTCACACTTTAGTATTCCCTGATACAATCTTAGCAATAATGGCTGTTTGTCACACTTTCGTGTTCCATGATACAATCTTGGTTGAAACCCATGCAAACTGCCAAATAGATTGACAGTTTGAGAACCATCTTCTATCACTTAGCTGGGTTGTGGTAAGACATTCTGAGGTTTATAAATTTCCAAAGACGTGATACAAATTGCTTTCTTTATACCTTTATTAATCAAGTGAAAGAAAGAGGAGTTATTCAGTCTTTCAGTTTCAAGCGAATGTGTTACTTGCAGTTGCAGTTTGGGCTCAATAATAACGAATATAATGATATAAATACGTAACGCTTTTCAAAATCGTGCTTTCATGTTGCTATTCACTATTGGATGTAGTTATCTAACTAGATACATTTTAATATTTTAATGCTACTTGCATTTAATATACAGGTGTAGTAGCAGATTCAAGTTCCTTTGATCAAAGTAAACGCTTGAGAACTGGTGGTGATTATACACATACAGGTTATCCAAGTCCATCTCCATTTCACCCTCCTCCGCCGCCTGTTTGGGGACCACAGGGGTAAGAATTTATTTATCTTTTAGTCAATCTATTGTTTAGAGATCTCGCAATAAAGGATCAAAGAGCAAAGTTGCTTCCTGAAAGGGAAGCATGAAGAGTGAGTTGCCACCAACTAATTAGGTACAGTTGGGCATCGAAATAAATTAACACAAAATTGACTCCATTATATTCTGTAAACATGAGTTCTAGGCAAGGGGATTCTCAGTGATTTAATAGGTGCGCCTTAGGCACGCCTAAGTGCACAAGTGAGGGGTTTGCATCTTGCCTAGGCCCACTCACAGCCCCTTTGAAAACGTTTGTGCCTAGTGTGCCTTGCACCTCAGCATGGGTGTGAGCCTTGGTTAAATTTTGTGCTTTTTGAAGCATGGTGATTGGGTCGGGGGCTCTGCCCTTGGGCCACCCATCCAAGCCTCTTGTGGCAAGTCCAAACAAGTCCATGTTAGGGTCTTAAATTCATAATCCTTACATCATTGCCAAAAATGGTTTTATAATTTTAATTATAGTTCCTTATCTTTTAAAACATGTCATATTAAGAGAAATGAATGAACAACGTTAAAAGATAAGTGGCACAGACAGATAAGCCTCGCTATTCAGCCTCTTACAATTTTCAGTTTGGGTATCAGATGGGAATAGACTTACTTGTGAAGGTGCCCAAGGACTTGAGCCTTGGGATCCAGGGGCATCAATTTGCAATTGATGTTTACCCACTTGAGTTCAGTGGTGAGACTTGGTCCTGGGTGTCCAAGGTCCCTCAGGCTGGAATATATTAATTCTGGACTTCTTGGTTAGTGGTCAACCTTGTTACCTAACTAGGCTTCGGCCCAAGGTTCCTCAGGCTGCTGGATTGCAATCCATTATGAAGGCTGTAGCTCTTGGCAGCCAATTTTGTTATAGTTGGGCTTGGAGCCCACGAGCTAGGTTCAAGAATCCCCTATTTGGTAATGCTGTCCATTCATTCATCCTAATAAAATATTTTCTTAAAAKCAATTAAAACTATAAAATCATTATTTTTTGTGTGAAAACTCAGAACTTAAGACCCTAACATGGACTTGTTTGGGCTTGCCTCGAGGGGCGTGGCGCAAAGGCGGCTTGTAGAATTAGGAATGTAATATGTCACATTAGCTAATTGATTTAATTGAGAAAAAAAGATATTGTGGGTTTTATATGCTTGAAAATGTTTTAAGTGTTTGATTTCATTTTTAAATTCTCATTTGAATTTGCTTTACATATTATGTTTATGTATTTTAATTTTAGATAATAGGTTTTTTAAAACATTTATTTTAAAATTTAAGTTAATATTTTTATTAATATTATGTTTTATAATTTTTTTGATTTTTCTTTTGAAATTTTTGGCATTTTTTTGAATTTTTTGACGTTTTTTATTTTTTAGCTTTTTTTTTTTTAACTTGTGCGCCTTGCCTCAAAAAGGCGCCTCGCCTTGCACCTTGCGATTCAGGCGCAAAATGGCCCTTGCGCCTTTCGCTTTTAAAACACTGTCCCTACTCAAGAAGTGCTTGGGAGATGGTGATGTGGTCTGTCCCTCCTTGGCAAGCTTCACTGGAGAAGGCCACCTTAAAGTTGAACCCCTGAAAATTATTGATTTTTGCTGGGTCTGATCTGGGTATAAAATTTTACAAGAATCCAAGGTTGTTTGGACTAACCCTCCAGTTGAGGATGCCACATGGGAACCATACCTACACCTTCAGGCTTCAGCACCAATTTCCACATGTTGACGTTGTGGACAAGGCCCATATCAAGAAGGGGGGAACTGTTAGTGTCCAGCCTATTACCACTGGCCCAAACCTCCCAGTTCAGTAAGTGTTCACTTGAAGGCCACATCAGCCAACAGGCCGGCTAAGGATGTTACAGCCTAGAGGTGATTCAGTTACATGTTGACAGTGATATTTACGTGAGGGAGCTCATATATAATTGGCTCTTCTCGGCCTAATAATGAGCGAGATTTGCCCTAATTTCCCATCTGTCTTTTCTTCTTCTCCAAGGAGGGTGAGCTTCCCTCAAAGAAGCTCCTGGGTTGGGCAGTAACCCATTAGAAATCTTCCTCTGGTGCATTATTGTTAGTAGTGTGCTCTGTATTCTTGTCAATAATGATTAGGTAGGTCATTATTTGTAATAGTTTGCCCTTCATAACTGCATCTTCATGTGGTAAATTGTCTGTCAGATTGGTTATAACAATAGAAATCTGACTTGAYAGTTAGGAAAGCACCTGTACAAGGATATTTTGAATTCCTATGTTCATTGTTAATGATGACTTTTTTTTGTCTATTGACAATAAAGTGAGGCTTTGATGTATCAAAAGGTTCCTAGAAAATACAAATGCCTTGTTATTGCCAATAATGTGTGAATTATTCATTAACGAGTAAACAGTTTCCCAGGGAGTAGAAAAATGGGGGGGGGTGTGCTGTGGAGAAGTGGAGTAACTACTTTGTAGTGTTTTTTAATTATACATCTATTCTTAATGATTGGTTCAACATGAATTTTCATCTCATTTAGATGTTTCTGAGTTGTTAGCATGCTTCTAGTTAATTATTTAATTATACATTGTAATGTTCTTTAATTATACATATATTCTTAATGATTGGTTCAACATGATTTTTCATCTCATTTAGATGTTTCTGAGTTGTTAACATGCTTCTAGTTAATTATTTTTTATTTGGACTAAGGTACATGGCTCCAGCTCCTCCACCGTATGATCCATATGGAGGTTACCCTGTTCCTCCAGTACCAATGCCTACACCTGCTCCTGTGCCAGCTCCTAGTGGTTATGCACCTGTTCAGGTGATAACATATATCACTTGTCTCCTTGATTTGCACACACATTTGATACTTGGCCTTATGTGCATCTTGTCGTCATATTAAACATGTTTCTCTTAATTTTCTGCTTCATGGTCTTTGCTGTTAATACTTTCTTTTAAAATATTGAATCTGATCTATTTTTTAAATTTTGGCATGACTTATTATCTTGTTTGCTAATCTAAGATTTATTTGAGCCACTGCAAATGTTTGCTCTTATTTGTCTTATCATAATTATACAAATAAAATGAGTTTTTTAAAGATGAAGCATGGTTAAAGTATTGATACACATCATACCATATTGTATGATGTATATCAATTTTAAGGGCTACCAAAATGCCAAATACCGGGTCAGAGCCTTTTAATAGGTTTAAACATTAATAAATATCTTAGTATATCTACTTATAAATATAGAAACTGAAAAGTTAAATAAGGAGTATCAATTGTTGATATGTTATTTTTGTGTATCTAGAGTATTGATACTTTGAACCATGAGATGAAATGATTATCTTGTTCAGTGTTTTAAAAGGTGTGGGAGGCGTATGCCTCGAGGTGTGCCTCCAGGTGAGGTGCCCCCAAAACACCCTGAGGCATATGCCAGAGGCAATGACATCTCTGAGGTGCCTCATATACCTTTTTCATGAGGCGTGCTAGAGGTGTATGCCTCGTGTGCCTCACACACCTCATATAAAAAGACGAGAAAAAAGGAAAAAAAGAAAAGAAAGCAAAGGGAAAGAAAAAGAAAGAAAGGGAGGAAAAAAGAGAAAAGAAAGAAAAGAAAAGGGGAAGGGAAGGAGGCTTGCACCTTCTTATATAAAAGATTTTTATTAAAAATAAAGAAAAATGATATACTCCTTCCACTTCCTCCTTGTGCATGGGGATGTTGGTGGAACTGTGTTTTGGCATTGTTCCATCAGGAAGGCATTTCCACTTTGGTCTTCTTACACTTAGTGGCACTTGCACGTTTTTAAACTACAGTAAACAATTGTGCATTGGGCAATGTGCGAAAATACCTCACTTTCCTGATTTCTAATGCTATAATTCAGGTAAAATGTTGAGACTTACTGTGGTACCAAACACCCTCTAGGAATGGGGCAAATCCTAATTGATGAAAGACTAGGACTTCAAGACAAATCCTAGTTGTATTGGGAATATGACAAATCCTACTTACCTTATAATTTTGTCTTTGACCTAGCTAGTAACATAATTTTGATTTGCTAACACTACTCCTAATCCAATTAGGAAAACTAAGTCTGTAATTAGGAAACCCCACCCCTAATCTAACTGCGAAAGCTTCTAAGAAGTCAAATAATCAGAAAGTAGCTAGTGAGGATTTAAAGCAAATCTGCTACTACCCATAAATACATAGAATCAATTCAAAGACACAATTCAGGAGCTACTTTGACTGTATCTCAGATTTGAAACCTTGGACATGTATGTTCCTGTATCATCCTATMTAAAGTTCTTAATAGGACATGTAGATTCTGTTTATCTTTTTGAATCAATGTAAATACACAATGACATAAATTACAGTTGTGAGTTTATTCTTTTCCTGAAGCCTTCAGTTCTTGATTATGACCTTCTACTTTGTTGAGATTATTTTTGTATGCAGAGAAGCAAGTCAACCAGTTGTTCTTTTGACTTTTTGCAACATTGTATATGTTGATATTAAAGTTCTTTGTAGTGAGCTTTAATACCATATTTAAAAATGCTTGGGGCTGTAGATATGAAAGTTAAGATTTAATTATTCATATTTGGAAAATCTAAAAAATCAAGAAATTTTTCTAGAAACATTAAAGTAGTTACTAAACCTTCATGAGATCTCTATAAGAAATATAATGGATCATTTAAGGTTCAAAAAACCATAACAAAGAACTGCAAWACTCAAATAGGAAAAAAATATTTTTGTATGCAGAAAAGCCCTCAGGTGTAGGGATTTCCTTCTCTCTATTTCCCTTAGGATCATTAATTAATGATAAAAAAGGGAATAGTTTTCAATGCGCCAAGGCAAAACTATTCGACAAGGAAGCAATTAGTTGCCTAGGCGTTGCTTAATGTTCAAAGAAGGATGGAATAAGGGGCCAAGCCCTTGTTTTTGTTGTAGAAATGTCAACAAAAGAAGGGGTGGAGGCCCTGTTCTTGTTATATAAAAAAGAAAGCAAGAATAAAAACCTCAGAAATAATGGAGAACAAGGAGAGGAGCCCCTGTTTTTTTGTTCCAGAAGAAGAAAAGAAGGGGCGGAGCCGAGCCTCTGGTTTTGCTCCAGAATAAAAGAAAGGGTGGAGCCCCTGTTTTTGTTCCAAAAAAGAACAAGAAAAAGAGGAACCCCTATTTTTGCTCCAGAAGAAGGGGTTGAGCATACCTTCTATGATTGTTGATTTTACTTGTTTCTTCAAAGACTTGGAAAGTTCGAATTACTATCCACATTTCTTCAGCCTTTGAATAGCTATCAAAACCCTATTGACATTAGAAACTAATAAAAAATATGCTATGTATGAAAGAAATAAAAAGAACAATTCAGTGTATCATACTTAATATAATAAGCTCAAAATATAAAAAATATAAGAAGAAAATTTAAAAACTTGAAGAGTTTATATATAAATGCCATGGCGTTTGGGCGAAGCGATTCCCAGAAAGCACCTACGTGCCTAGGTGTCGCCTTGACAACTATGGAAAAGGGTTAATCAGGATGCATTAGCGGTTTAAGCAGACCTTGTGAAGGTTGAAGTTACATTGGATGTTTATATGGACATTTACGAAATATGGAGTTCACTGCATGGTAGTCTTTTTATGGAGGCATAAGAAAGTTCTGTATAATCATGTCATTCATTGAGAATGCATAAACTCTGACCATCTGCTTGGAGATATGCACTAACGAATGCTTTTGAGGGATTTCTTCTTTCAATGATAAAAGARGCGTTTTCCTTAATAGGTGGTTCTTCTGGAATTGTTTACATCTAATAGGGCTATTATGATTGATGATAGCTCAGCATATCTCATTTTATATTCCTTTTCCTTGAGAAAGGGTAGAACCAGTGTTGCATGTTTTGCATGTGTTACACCAATTTTCTTGTTGAAGATTCATGACATTCATTTCTTGTCTGTCTAATTGATTTGGTAGGAGGTAAAAATATTGATTCTATCTTTTCTTGTTTCCTCTGCAGAACACAAAAGACAATCCTCCTTGCAACACTCTCTTTATAGGCAATCTTGGAGAGAATGTAATTGAGGAAGAACTGAGGAATCTTTTCAGTGTGTATGGATCTTTTTTGTCTTTTACCAATTTATGATATGTGCATTTCCTATTGCTTTTATGATTTGCATTCCCAACATTGTGTGCACTTTATGCCCAATTAATATCATAATTCCAGTAGTCTTGAACTTTTCTGTTTTTCTTTACTCTATTCATTTATTAATTAATTTATTTTTTTGATGGGTGATATTGGAGTTAAGAGAGATCCTGACTGGGTATAGGAGGAAGAAATTTACATATCGATTATCTATAAACCTAACTGTCCACTTTAAAGAAATGTTAGAACATGCTTGGGAACCCATAGAAACATTTGCAATCAAACTTGTGAAGAAACTGAAAAATTACACTACAGTGGCCAAATCTTTTGTAACAGAAAACCATAAAGTTTGCTTCCCCATTACTGTTACCCATGTACAAGGCATTCACCCTCTTTTAATTGACAAGTCCTTGGGTTCTGCACTGATGAGAAGCCAGTTTGAAAGTTCAAGGCTACAAATTTATTGTTAACTTGTTTACCTTAAGTTTTCTTAATTCCCATTGCCAATCTGTTTTTACTTTGTTTTGCTTGTTTTCTCCCAGGATTTTGTATTTGATTTCCTTTTTTATGTTATTATATGCAGCCAACCTGGTTTTAAGCAAATGAAGGTTTTGAGGCAGGAAAGAAATACAGTATGCTTCATTGAATTTGATGTGAGTAGATAGATATATTTATATCATTTTAAAAGTTGTTCAAGTTTTCTGCTTTGACAAAATTAAAATTAGACTTTTGTTTATGATAGGCAGTAATCCTATATGCCTCTTCATTCCATATTGAAGATTTTATTTGACCTATGATCATGTTGGCTATGCAGGATGTAAACAGTGCCACCAATGTTCATCACAACTTGCAAGGTGCAGTTATCCCCAGTTCTGGACGTGGTGGCATGCGAATCCAATATCCTTTGTTTACCTTGTAGTTTGGTTTTTGGTGCTAAATTTCCCCACTCTTTATTTTCCTATTATTTTCATCTTCTGTTAGGCTATGAATTGTTGTCTACCGCTTCAGATGTTGATGATCAGTTGAGGCTGTTTCATTGGCCTGAAACAGTCACCACCCATTCTATAACTTGTAAAAGGAGAAATCCATTTGTCAATTTTAGGTAATGGAATTCATTGTCTGGAGGGTGAACTAGAAAACTCAAAAGCCATTTAGATCTTGTTTCCAAGGTTTGTCTAGTCTAATTGAGCAGGCGGACTCCTCAGACTTGGATATGGGTTTCGTTTAAATATTCTCACTGTTTCTGCCTTCTCTTTTTATTCAATTACGTTATTTTTATTCTTTGTTTTACTTGACATTTGGAAACATATTCAAAGAACCCGTTTGGGAGAAGGAAGGATTCAAGCAACCCTATTGCTGCTCCTGATGCCAATGCCAATGCCAATGCAAATGGTGTTCCTCCACTAGCACTAACTTACCAGTAGCTGAAGGGATGTATTCTGCTCTTTTTCTTCCTAATGAGTTATAGGAAAAGAACAATTACTACTACATGGTAGGATGCATCATGCAGCTGTTGCATGCATTATGAACGCATGTGGTGATGCCATGAACAACCAGTGGGTCCATATCGCTAGAGGATTGACTGTTTATCAAAGATATGCATTTGCTGGCATCCAAGAACTGAATGAATGGTTAGGTTTCATGTTTGTTTGTTTTGTTGGGAAGGATTTAGGTCCATATTTTTGGACTTTGTGCAGGGACTCCATCTTGACTATATTGTGCATTGTCATTAGGAATATAACACTTTTGATAGGCAACTCTGCCATTTCTCTCTTCCTTGTAGGTTTTCATTCCATGTTTTATGAAAGTTCTCTAATTTCATTTCATGTCATGAGATGGTTAAGGTATGAACATTCTGGATCATGTCATCGGTTCATGATTCTTGTGGTCGCCTGCATATCTCTATATTATTCTTAAAAAGTACAATTGATCAGTCTTGCACACAACTGGTTTTCTTGCTGTCAACCTCTAGGTTCTTAGGCATTGAACAATAAGCCAAAGAATGTGAGAAATATATGATGCTTTTTGTATTCAGGATTTTCTTATGGGGACTTCATCTTGGCCATAACTTTTGTTGACATTACGAATGACATTTTAGTGGCATCTTTTATCACGTCATTCTCACTCCATGTCATTTGGGGAAGTGGTTCCAAGTTCCATGCCATGTCATGACATAATTGAAGCTGGATAATATCATTGGTCCATAGTCCTCATCACAATGGTTTGAGCAGCATCTCTTCATACATTCATCCACAAAACATCTGTCCAAGTTTATCACGGAACTGAATTTGATGCTTCTAACCTCCAGGCTCTTGAAACATTTATTCAACAATCCAAACAAATGGCAGAAATATATGATGCTGTGATTTCTATGCAGGATTTATCTTAAGACTGAAAATTCTGAGCTGCATTTGCTCCAACAATGATTTCAGGGATGTTGCTGCACCACTTCAGTTTCAGGTAACTTTTTCCTAACCAGGCACCGTTACAGGGCACTGCAGATTGACTTGATGGATTATCTAGGATAAAAAAAAATTGTTACCATCTTCTGAAGCTGCACCTAGTTTTGAGGTTTCAAGCCGCTTTTATTTGCCAATCATTAAAAGTAGATTGTATGAAGCCAACTTTTCCTCGGTCTTTTTTCCTTTTAATTTTTGACACCTAAACTTTGTGGGGACAATTAAGGTAAGCTCCAAGTTCTTGTATTTTGGTCGATGCATGACCCAATTGTACAGGGATAACGTAGGCATAGAAAATAGGGTGAAACACTTTCTATCTGCCTGTTCCACCAAATGAGAATTTTAGGGGGTTGTTCGCCAACATGAATATATTGGTTTTCCATTTTTCGGATTTTGAAAACATCACATCAAAGAAATAAGTAAATAGAAGAGAATAAATGGAAATGCTTTCACGTAGTTGATTTTTCCATTCTTGGAGGCAGTGAAAACATTTACAGTTTGATTCAGAAAAATATCTTTTCCCTGGTGAGAAAATATGAAGACAATCAGAATCTCTCTGAAATGCACCATGCTAAGAAGTAAAACAATAGACTGCAAAGTGTTCTGAGACTAGAAATTCAAGACTGCATACATTTTTTTTTCGGATTTTGAAAAGAAATTTATACAAACAACAATGTGAGCTCAAGATTCGGACTTAGGGTGGGCTATCCCAAGTTGTGTAGCTCGTTTGCCCACAAATGGGGGTAGTAGCCCTTTCCTCAGCTAGAGAGCCCAAAATACGTTCTGCCAATCTTTTTAGGGTCCGTTTGTCACTTCTTGTATCATGAGCGCTTACAGCTTAGCTCTCCCAAAGGGCCCTAAGACCGGGAAGAGAACAAGTTCATAGAGGTACGAGTTAAAAAAATTAAAACTAGGAAATACATTGCAAAAATTTTCAATTATTACCTTGCTTTCAAAAAGTCTTTTCTGCAATCGAGGTGTTTCCATAGGAAGCTAGCATGGATGGGCATGGAAGGGGAGATAATTTTGTGCTCTCCATCCTCATTCTTCCTTATTTTTCTTGTTCAAGGTTCAAAGTATCTGCCTGTATTGGCCGATATGTATCGTTCTGGCACCCCACTGGTATGCCCCTACAGTGGGTGTATCGGTGGTCTGACTGGTTCAGGGTGTGGTGAAAACTTAAACCAGCTTCTCTGAACCAGTTGGCGAAAAAAAAAATTAAAAAAAGCACCAAAAGGAGTATGGGCATATCGATATTTTGAACCTTGTTCTTGTTAATTAAAATTGATGTCTGGTTAAACACATCAAGAGAGCGCATCTGCTCCAATTTGGTCCTTCATTTGTTGTCGCAAGGGTGTGTTGTAGCAGATACCATGGTATATTCATCTCTTTTTTATTGGATGATATGCTGGTGACGATTTGTAGTGGGGACAGCTGGGTGCATGAAAGCCCACCGATCAGTGTCATGGAGAGCTTGTAGATGTATGGGTGAGAGTAACCAAATTAAGACAATGGTTTCAAATCTGATCCAGAGGTTGGATTGTTTTTTCTTCTAGATCGTTGGTCATCGGTTGATTAGGTTTAACGGTTAGACTGTCATGACTCGTGCATGTGTGAACATGTATTTTATCAATAAATAATGTATAATTATATTTTACATTTTATATTTAATTAACAATTTAATTTTATTTTTGAAAATGCTAAAAATTGCATTTTAAGGCTCACAAAAGGGTTGGTTGGCAAAAATAGTGGGCAAGTCTCCTTTGTGTCTTCGGGACATATTGATCTCAAAAAGTTGCCTATAATAAAAAAGGGTAAAATACAATGGCCCCCCTTGTACTGTGGGGATAGTGAGAGATCCTTTTATACTTTAATTTGCGATAAAGGCCTCCTTAACTTTAGACATTAGGCAAAGCCCCCCTTCTATTAGCCTTTCGTTAGTTAACTTAGAAAAAAGTTTCATTCAACTGTTTAAAATTTTTTAAATTCATAAATTTCCCTTTCTTATTTATTTGAACGGTGAGAAGATACCACTAACCAGAGCACCATGGATTCCGATGACCATGACGATTGATTTGTTCAATCCTCTTTAATTGGTGGTTTCTATATTGGAAATCAATTTTTTAAATTCTTAATTTCCCTTTCTTATTTATTTGAACGGTGAGAAGATACCACTGACCAGATCACCATGGATTCCAATGACCATGACGATTGATTTGTTCAATGAAGATGGGATTAGGTTAAGGTTTAACAGAAAAGGGCAATGAAAAGAAAATAAAGAAAGTTCAGGAGGTTTTTACTGCAAATTACGGTTGTTCATGGGTTGGTTTGGTTGGGTTGCACCGAGGAAAACCGAACAAGTGAGGAAAACAATTTTTATTTTTTTTTTCATTTTATTTGAAAATGATTCAGTCGGTTTAAATTGAATTGAAATTTTAATGTTTTACTTGAAAAAAAAAGTCAAATTTTGATTGGATCCAATTGTATGGCTATACCTACAATTATCACCAACAATAGGGGTTATTATACCTACAATTGCATATCGGTCAATCATGTCAAAAGTATGTCCAATTTTCCACAAGCATTGAACTCACATCTCTGATTTCTTTCTTGCTCCCTTATACACCATGCAAAACGTGCCGAGGGACTGGTAAGAAGGGGGGAGGGTGGAGAAAGGGAGAGCAACAGAGGTAAATGAGGATGGGTTTTCTTTGACTTTTGCGATGTCCATGAAAGCGTTACACATTAGTGACTTCAACAAAACGTGAATATGACTTGTTTGTGTTTCCTACTTTCCTATTTGCGTTTTGAACCGGCAACTTTCAATGGAGGTGGGCTCCTACAAGCGAATTGTTGGCTTTGCAGCGCTATTCGTTGAATCTCTTGGCATCATCAACACTTAAGTCCTGTCCATCAGCAGACATCCGTTTCCACTTTCCTGGTAGACGATGACGAAAAATTGTCTTATACATTGGAGATCGAACAACCGCATGATAACTACATTTGAATTTGGTTCAATCTCGCTAGGAACAACGAAGCCATCGTCTCCACCATGAGATCAAGCACTGTTCGGTTGGCGACACTGTCTGCTTCGAGTGCGGCCTGGTCCTCGAATGGTAGAGGATCTTAATCTGGAGGAGGTATGTATCGCCTCTACAAGAGAACTGCCGCTGTTCAACAAGCTGTGTTCGCCTGTTGTAATCCACGGCGGAGACACCACGCCGAAGGCCCCTTCACAGCCACACCACGCCGAAAACCCCTTCAAAGAGCAATAGCCCATCGGTAAATGATCAACGTCCACAATTGCTGCTGCTCTGCTCTCGTCGAAAGGGGATTCTTACTATCGGAGGGAAGGGGATTCTTCTCAAGATGTCATCACTCTGTTCTTTCAGATCTGCAACTCCCATATCTGCTACCGGAATACGAAAAACAAACCTTAATATCTTCTTCAGGAAGGAAACGAGGAAAGGACGAACAGAGGGAAATGTGAGAGAGGAGAGATGCAAATTGTAAAATTGAAATGTATAAACACCTTGTCCAAATACGTGATGATTGGATTAAGTTGTTAAGTTTTAAATATGACTAATAGGCGTACTTGCTCCGCTAGATTCATTTTTTTTTGTAATGCTTTATCCTTTTTTATATTTTTTTTTTGTTCTTATAAAAAATGTAAGATTTAAATAGGAAAATGATGTGAATAGTAGTAGTTTAATTTATAATTTAAAGGCACAATTAAATAGGGACTAAATCTAAAAATGAGTATTTTAGTTAAAAGAAAGTTTCACAATCTTATTCATATTTTTAATAGTAGTATAAAATATAGGATTATATATGTATTCAATTTTTTTTTTATATTTTTTGTATTTTTGTGTAGAAATAATTTTGATATGTCATACTTACTTTTTGTTTAATATGATTTTATACATGTGCTTGAATATTTTTTATTTTTGCAAAATTTATGTTTTATTTTTATTTTTTGTATTTTATCTTTATTAATTTTTATTATTTATTTATGAAATTAAATGTTAATACATTTGACCCAAAAGTTAAACTATTGATTTTTGCCTAACAGTAAAATAATTTCATTTTGGTGAGTTCTAAATTATGTATTTCATTTTTATTATTAATAAAAGTAATTCTTGTTTATTGCACTTATTGTTTTAATTTGATTAATAAAATATCATAAATGTGTTTAGTTTTTTTCTACATTTTTGTAATTTTCTATATTTATTCCTATTTTAAAATTTTTATTACCTAATTATGACTTCATAGGTTGATTAATTTGATTCGAATGGTTGAATTTCTTAGCCACCACTTGGATAAAGAATAGTTTTGTTTTTGAGTTAGTTTTAAGATATATGGGTTTATTGTTTAAAATATCGACATAGATCTAATTAATAGCATTTATTAGTAAAAAATAACTTAAATATATGATTTAATAAGAGAAAATGAGAGTTAATAATTTAAGTATAAGAGCTTTTTTGTTTGATTTGAAGTCTAATATCTGAAAGTGCAATAATTGCATTAAGAGGTATATTGGTGTTAGTGAATTTTTCTTTCCTCTGAACTTTAAATGCAGAGAATGTTGTTTCTGAATTCTGAATTTTGAAAATGATCAAATATCCATTTTGACCCCATATATGAGAGTTTTTGTTTGTTTTTTTGGAGTGTCATTGGAAAACAAAAAGTTGTATGATTGTACTTTAAGAGATAAAAGATAAGAGGAACGAACAACCTTTTTTCTCTTAAAGTTAAAAGATTTCTCTTAAGATATAAGAATTAAGAGGAAACCAACATGCCTTAAGACTTAATGARAGGGGATTAAATGAGGTGGGAAGTAATAATTGAAGTTACATTTTCAACGCTTACCATTAGAGATGGACTAAATACACAATTATGGGCATTTTAATAGCCATAAAAGCTGACATTAAAGTTGTAATAAAATGACTTTTATACCCTTTTTGAAACAAAGAAATATAGAATAATTTTAGTCCGAAAGAAAGTTTCACATTGCATTCCCACTTTTATATATAGTATAGATATTACATTTATTCATCGATTCAGGTCGGTCTTAAGTTGGATTACAAAGTCATAACATGCAACTAGGGGTGGATTCGAGGCGAGTCGAGCCGAATACTTGGTTATTCGAGCTCGACTTGCTAAAATTGTGTTAGGCTTGAGCTTGACTGCAAGCCAATTTTTTTTCTAAAAAATAAAAAATAAAAATATATATTTTTTATTTTACTTACAAAAAAATAAGAATCATAAAAATTATTTATTATTATACATATAAAAAAAATATAAAATATACATATAAAAATGATTTTATTTTACATGCAAAAAATAAAAATTATATATAAA